ACAGTGGGTGCTTGACAGCGGGTGTTTTCAGTAAACTCTGGAAGAACGCGAGGTTGGTACTAATTGGCAAAGGCAAGGGAGATCCCGATAAGCCGAATTCATATAGGCTCTTGAGCCTCCTCAACACGACCGGCAAATTATACGAACTGCTACTGAGACCAAGACTGAACGTGGCGATGCAAGCCGCGGGTGAATGACGGACCACGGACTGAGCCTGGCTCTTTTTAAGACAGGCTTACTGATAATGACGAGACAGAGCATAGACACGATAATACCGATGACCATAGGTACGGAACGACTGGAGACCAAAAGTGCGACCGTAGGGAGGGTCGACGCTGTAACAGAGGAACGAACGAAAACGACAGAACAATGACAGACAAGATGGACGACAGATGTTCAAGGACGATGGACCCACAGACTAATACCAGACGTTGGTCTGTGGAAAGACAGAAAACACGGGGAGGTGGATTTTTATCTCACCCAGTTTCTGACCGTACACGGATACTTCCGAAAGTACCTGCACAGAATGGGTAAGGTAACTTCCCTAGATTGTGTGTAATGTAGAGGGTCTTGGGACGACGCGGAGCACACGTTTTTCGTGTGCGACCGTTGGGCCGAGCAAAGATTAAGACTGGAGACAGAATTAGGGCCGATTACGCCAGAAAACGTAACGAACGTAATGTTGACAACAGCAGACGCATGGCGTAAGATCACGCTGTACGTTTCGAATGTGTTACGAAACAAAAAGACGGATGGATGCTTGAAAAATTGAATGAATGAGAACATTTCAGAGCCTACTTGGGAATGAATGAGTATTAAAGGGATGAATGTGTGCTTGGACACGCAATGACAGCCGTCCAGTCTGAAGTAATATGATAAACAGTTCCGGGCTGGTTGTGGTGCGAACAAGGAGAGATATGTTTGGTGAGTATTGGTGGCCTAAGCTACTGAGTCCCACACTTGGCGGGCTTCCGTCAGTTGTCCGTAAATGGATTCAGACTCTCCTCAAAAATAATAATAATAATAATAATAATAATGCCACTTGGAGTGACCCTCGTCGCCTACGCTGATGACGTGGCGGCGGTGATCACGGAGAGATCTCCCGAGCTGGCGCAGCTGACGTTGAACCAGACCATGAGACGAGTTGGACGATGGATGACAGAACACGGACTGCAACTCGCAACAGAAAAGACAGAACTTATGCTTCTCACGAGAAGACGCATACAGACGATACTACCCATGAGAGTGGGTACATACGAAACGGAGACCAAGGGGGAAGTCAAGTACCTTGGGGTAACCCTCGATACGAAGATGACCTTCTGGCCTCACATACAGAAGACAGCCCGAAAAGCGGCAGAGAGGATAACATCCTTGAGCCGCCTGATGGCAAACACGACGGGACCGTGACCAGGAAAGCGGCGACTGCTAATGGCGACAGCTCACTCGATCCTCTTATACGGCGCGGAAATATGGGCAGATTCCTTGAAGACAAAGAAGTACTGTAAGACAATGACGATGGTACAGAGACAGGGCGCTCTGCGAATCGCTTGCTCCTACCGAACAGTCTCTGCGCAGGCTGTCCTGGTGGTGGCGAGCGTAATACCCGTGGATCTTCTTGCCTCTGAACGCAAAAGGATCTATGGGAGCAGCGCAGACATAAGACAAAAGAACGCGGCAATCGTTGAACGCGAAAGGACGATCGACATGTGGCAAGACCGATGGACAGAAGAACGAGGTAGCAAATGGACGAGACGACTGATACGGGACGTGAGACCGTGGCTTGGAAGGAATTTTGGTGATGTGAATTTTCACGTCACCCAGCTCACGGGCCACGGGTACTTTCGACGGTACCTCCACAATATGAACAGAGTACGAACACCCGACTGCAAGTATTGTGGACACGAACGAGACGACGCGGAACACACGTTTTTCGGGTGCGACCGCTGGACAAGACTCAGACGAGAACTAGAGACAACAGTTGGCAACATCACCCCCGATAACATTGTAGAGGTGATGCTGCATAAACCCGAATGGTGGCGTTTAGTCGCTACCTATACGGAAACCATACTAAGATGTAAGAACGCGGACGACTGTCTGAAGGACGACTGAGCAGACGGATTGATGCGACGTAACGACGCACGGTGAAACGATACGAAGTAACGAACACAGACAGAACCCCCAGTCAGAAGTAATATCAACATAGTCCCTGGCTGGGGGAAGGACAACAAGGAGATGGCGGTTTAGTGGGTAGGCCTGTCTTTTTTTTTTGGGGAGTCCCACATACCTCCTTAGATCAAGACAAAGGGGAATCCGCAAAAAGGATTCCGCAACTCCTTGTAAAAAAAAAAAAAAAAAAAAAATAATAATAATGATAATAATAACCCAATACCCAAGATAAATAAAAGTTCAATTATCAGGGTCGTTTTTGTTTTAATCATTACGTGTGTTTGTGCCACATTTAGTAACGTGGACCAATCTAACTAATGTATGCAAAGAGGGAGTGTCCAGTCTATCTAGGCAAGGTGAGAATGCTGAGCCAATGAAGGTGAGGTATCGATTACCCAGCCAATTACGGCATGGTGGGAATGCCCAATCAATGAAAGCGAGGTATTGATTAACCAGCCAATTAAGGCAAGGTGGGAATGCCCAAACAATGTAGACAAGACGATGACTATAGATAGAGTTATGGTCAAGGTTGTAACACAAACATTTATCTTATAAAATGTTCATAAATACCACCGTTTAAATTTCTGCAGTGTTGAATTCTACGTTCGAAGTTTTCAACCGTGGACAACAAAACGTGACGCGGAATAGCTCTACAAGCTTCTTGCCTTTCTTGGATAATATCTTGCCGTGTTGTTGGATGCTGTGCATAAACAACACTTTTCAAATAGCCACATAAAAAGAAATCTGGACTTGTTAGATCTGGTGATCTTGGACACCGCACAGTAATGTCACTACCAATGCCTATCCATCGTCTTCGGTATCGTTGGTTCAAGAAGTGACGAACTGTTAGCGAGCGATGATACGGTACACCGTCCTGTTGAAGCCGTAATCGTCGTCTTGTTTCCAAGTCCACATCTTCCAATAATTATGGTAATTCATTCTACAGGAAATTAAGGTATACTGCGCCGTTCACATTACCATCGAAAAAATAAGGTCCTATCAGATAACCATTTATTATACCGCACCAAGCTACGAGGCTCCATCTATGCTGATTATCAACATGACGTACCCAATGAGGGTTCTCGATAGAACAGTAATGACTATTATGGCAATTAAGTTGCCCATTACTATGAAATATAGCTTTATCCGAAAACATTACGTATCTGAAAAATTCAGGATCATCACGAATCCTTGCTTGTGCCCAATTACAGAATTCGAGTCTGCGGCGGAGATCATCTGGCATCAAAGCTTGAGTCAGGGTTATGTGATACTAATGAAATCTATGAAGCAGCAAAATTCTACCGCCTGTTGTTCTTGGGATTCCAGTACGTCTCTGAATTTCACGCAAAGAGATATGATGATTTAAATCAACCATTGCCAAAACAACGAGAATTCGTGGATCATCGTTGTTCTATCTCATAATGCGACGACGATATCGTGCTGCAGCCAGATATTACCGTCCAGTTATTGGGTTGGGGGAGCAAGATATTATCAGCAAGTTATTAGGTTATTACAGTTAATCTTACCCTCGCCCGATCATCCCTGTGCATAGCATGAAGAAAAAATAAATTTGACCCCTCATGAACTTACGCGGGGAGGGGGGAGGAGTTAACTGCATCCGGCACATAATACCTTATCTGAACGTAAAATTTCTCGCTCTTTCTGAATCCGGAATCAAAATTATAGGTTCCTATTCAAAAAATGACTTTGACTTTCAAATGACCTTGAAAATAAATTTCAAGGTCAAATCCGATTTCTGAGAAAAGTGTCCCTCATTTTCCCAAACAATTTTTGTCTGAATAATTTTCTTGTAGAACGCCAACCGTAGAAAATTTCGGGATGGTTCCTTTAAAATGGGACACCCTGTATAGAATAAAAAGTGATATAAAAAATGTCAGTATATTCGAATGTATCTATACGATATATTTCCTGACGTGTTGTTGAAAATCATTTATTTATTTTATTAGCAATTATATATTTTTCAAAATATATTTATTGATTGAATCAAAAGGTAATGTTAAAATACGAAAAAATCACTCAAATATCTAATATTTTACAGTAAAATATAGATAACCGTAAAATCAATTTTATATAATCAAGTAGATTTATCGCATGTAATGGTGAATACTACACTAATGTATTAAATGTTCTGAAATCAATTTTTTACAGGAAAGTTAATTACTTTGAACAATAATTAAACAATTTAGTAATAATTAAAAAATTAAATATATTTTGGTTGAGTAGAGGATACTTCGTAAACAATAAAACGAATTCTAGTCGTTCCAAACGAACCATAACTACTTAGTCTAAAATAAATGTCATGAAACTATTCGATGTACCCATAGGTAAAAAATCAATAATGAAATTTCATCATTGCTAGTGGCAACCTCGAAAAAATACCTTATTTTACTGTTACCTGATTAGTTTTTTTAACTATGTATATGGAATCGAACGAAGTTATAATTTACGTTATACAAATTTTATATTGACCAATAACAAACAACCAAAATACTTTAATTAATTTAATTTATCTTATTTGCAATTCCTATATAAATTGTTAATATAAACGTCAAACATCTCCAATAGAAATAAAATAAAATAAATATTTTTAAAAATTAAATTTCATTAATTATTTTTTAATGAAAGATTAGCTTTTCTTCAGTATATTTTATGATTTTATGATTGTTTTCGATTATATATTTATATAGTCGTTTAAGAAAATATAATGTAAGTAATTCGTAAATGATTTATACAAGAACTATAAAATTATAATGAATTGAAAATTTTTTGCGTTCTTATTTGAACTGATAATAACTTAGATAATAAAATGTTACCTTAGCATATGAGTGGCTCACTTTATTTGCAATTTGTAACTGGTAATAATTTTTAATGAAATCTTGTTTAGCAGAAAGAAATATTTTCAAAGATTGGTTCTTCCTGTGAAGTAAAGTAAATTCTTATGTCTTCAATAATATGTTTATATTTAATATATTCATGTTGAAATTATTATTTTATTCATAGATTATTATTGAAAAATTGTAGGTTACCACAATTCTAGGAAATGTCTTTTAATTGAATTTATTTGTGGTATATACTACTTATTCGCAAATAAAAATAATAATTATTTAAACCTATCTAAAATTTCTACTAGGTGTAGAAATAGTTTCAATCGAGTTATACAATTCTGTACTGCACATTGATCTGTGTGGATGCTGCGCATTCGCGGTGGTAGTGAATCTAGAATATGGATGACAAATCTTTAAAAATACATTTATACGACGTACCTCAACTTTGATGGTACAAAATATCTATATCTATAAGACATAGATCATCATACATAATATAAATAACTAGGAGAAATGAACCTTCCAATTATCGTTCTTCTCTTAGAGCAGCTTCTAAGTCATATATAGGTCTGAATCTCAACTTTTTTTTTGCTGATGCATGTTAACACTTCATTAGCTAGCAACTGAATAATTTTTCTAATGACACTTTTCTAACGAGATTTTTTTAGATCGCTTTCATTTTTAATATATTAATAGAAATCAGTTCGAAACTCCTTTAAATGATGTGAAAGCCTACAGACAGAATTAGTAAAAGAGACTAAACAAAAAGCGACATATAGACGCATTGATATCTCACATTTCACACATATTATTACACTAGCTGACATTTTCAATGTTCTGACTTGTTTCCTAAAATTGACAGTATCGCGATAGGCTTGATTACAATATCTTGATGGTCAGAAGTAATTCTTATACAGAAGCATTTTTTTCTAAAATCTAATTTTTTAATGACCGCTCCCTGATATGAGAATTTCTTAAACAGTTATAAAAGTATCTTAATAGTTAAAAATTGTTCTAACATATCTTACTTACAGTTTTATATCCTATTAAACATTGAATTTTATTATCAATTCATTGAGCAAGTTAATAGAATTTAAAGAATATAAACAGATTATTATCTTATTAATAATATTCAAAAATATTTTAATTAATAATTTTTAACTGATCTGTCTAGGCAATGTAAGATAAATTATTTATATTTTATTATTTAATATAAATAAAAATGTTATTCAAAATAATATTAATACAAATTTATCTTTATTATTTAATCTATACGTCATGAAATCATTGATGTTGTCCTTATTTTTTTAGAAAAAATTTTTTTGTAGAATTAAATATTAGATTTCAAGATATATAAAGTTAGTTTAGAATTATATGACGTCATTCTCAACAAAAATGACATTAATTCACGAAAAATCTTTTGACAATAATAAAATGACGTTATTTTTTATTTACAGAAGAAGTTATTCTTTAGAAAATACGTTATTTGGGGAAAAGATTCATTTAGCGTGTAAATAGCAGATCATTATTTTTTAACCGAATGAAACTATTTTTTAAAGGATTTCTCCAAAGCGGATAATGAATAGCGTTATTTTAGAATGGAATGACGTTCTTTTTTAATAAATATTTTGGCTATAAATCATTCACGTTGACTATGATGAATAGTGTCTCTACTTTTCTATCTTTTCAACGTTATTAGAATACAAAATTGTGTTTTATTATTTGCATATTAAATAAATTCTTTTCTAAAATAACGTTCATTTTTGTGATTAAAAGTTCTTCAAAGATTAACGTTCTTTCCGTTGAGAATAATGTTATTTTATTCTAAAATAGCACTACTATTTGATCTGCGCTAACAAATACCTTCGAAAATAACGTTATTTATTAAAAATAACGTTACTGCAGTTCAAAAATCTCATTATTTTCTATGAACCAGATGATTTAAAAGAAATACAATGTTATTTTTTGTTCTAAGTTGTAATACGTCAAATAACATCGTAATAACATCATTGATATCGTTAGAAATAACATTATTTATAATGTCACTTTTTTTAATACGGTATTGTAGAGAGCACAATTTTAGTGAGAAATTAGGCAGTTGATAAAATAGTTTACATTCGTAACTCGTTTGATTTGTAGTAAGCAGATGAGATTTTCCACATATTAGTATTTAATTGTTAATTCACAAAACGAGAGAATATTATAATGTATTTAGTTAAATATAACATGGTTGTTATTTTGTAATAAAGGATCATTATTTTTAATATTAAGCTTTTCTTACATATTATAATATAAAGATTAGAACTCTGTGAAATAATTACAATGTTATTCTTTGAGATTGAATAAAAATTTAACTTGACATGCATGACTTAATAACGCAATTTTCTTTAGATTTTTTTGAAAAACTAGTATATTATTCTAGAGGTTATAACGAATCATATGCAATAATAAAAAACATAGGTACAGGTACTATTTTCGATGCAAGACGTTCTCAAAGTTTGTAACCAGGTGCGTCTCCCGATCGGTCTGCAAGTAAAAACATGGTGACTTGGCAACACCGCATCAGATATATAGATATACATGCCGGCGCGGCGTATTACGGTTGTTCCGCGAGTCCACACGACTCTATTTGCAACGATAACATTTCAAAAAAGTTAAAAGTAATTTCCATTCTTATAACATTCGTAAAGATTATCTACTGTAATTCATTCGTGTATATTGAAAATAACTTAGATTAATTAGGGAATAATTATATACATATGGGGAGAACACGGCGTTGTTGCCAAGTCGAGCAAATCGTCGCAGAAGACGCTCCTGGTACTTCTGCGCACGAAGCGGCGCTTATTTCATTTATACGGAGCCCGGGGGAATAAGCTGGTCACCTATGATGCTATACGATGAGCACCATTATAGGCAAGAGAACGTCCTTAAGATCAGTGATCTGAAGTGCATGATCTATCAGATCAGCACTCTTAGATCACATGCGAGAGCCCCCGCCGCTGCTCTCTCCTCGTCAGATCACTGATCTGAAGTGTATGAGCTAACAGATCAGCACTCTTACAAGGGAACCACCCCAACCCGACCTCACCAATTTGAATGATTTTGGGATATGTTGTAGTACTTGAACAAAAATTAGATACGTGTTTTTTTTTATCGGCCCATAAGGGCTTTTAAGGGGTGAAATCCACCCTGAAAATCAACCCCTAAAATCAGTTTTTTCAATATTTCTCAGCATCAAATGAATATTTTTCAGTAAACTCAACGTTAAGAAATTTCTTATAAAAAGGCGCTTTTAAGGACATAACATTCATATCGAAGGGTTGCAACCCCCTTTTTAACAGGGGTAAATACACTATTTTTTGTACTGTTTTACGACATGTAATATAGTAAATCAGCTCGAGTGATTTAAAAATCGCACTGATAATGAGAAAATAACAAAATTAAATTGACGTGTTTTCCGATTTAAAAAAAAAATATGTTTAAACCATCCTTACTGAATCACAAGCAAGCTAAACCTCCTAACCCTGGGAAACACGAGTTAAGTTGTTTGTTATTTCCTGAAATAATTTAATCCTATGCATGAGCGAGCTACCTCAACTAACCAACCTGCCTCTAACCTACCAAACCCCCATAAACCACTCTTACCGAACCACATGATGGCTAACCCACCTATCCCTGGGAAAAGCAACTTTAGTCGTTTGTTATTTCTTGAAATAATTGAATTTTACACCATAAGCGAGTTATCCCAGCTGTATAACATACCTCTTATCCACCTACCCCTAACCTATCTAACCCCCACCCTTATAAACTACCCTTACCGAACCACATGCGGGCTAACCTTATATAAATAGCGAAAAATAAATGTATTTCTTGAATAACATTCATGTTGCATAACAATATGTCCCAAGTATTACAAATTTTATGTAATAATTATTATTTTCTTTGCATTATAAATACAAAAAAGATAAAAATAATTAATAACGGCTTATAAATATAAGATCTGAGACTAAAATAAATTATAAATAATTATTAACTATTTTGTTTTTTCGGAATCACAGTTATAGTATCAGTTTTTTTTTTAAATATTATTTGCATTGTATTACATATAGCTGTGTATAAAAGAGTAATAATAATAGTTATTATTTTTTAAACGTAAAGTTAATTCGTAATAAAGAAAAATAACAAGTAATAACAGTTAAAAATTATTAATTTCAAAAGTGGAAGTTTAATATAGTTATTATTTCTTTTTTAATCATTTACAATTTGTCAATGAGAAAAGAAATTAAAACAAATAATTGATTATATTAATAGTTATAAATAGTTATTATAGTCTCAATTCCTATACTTATAAACTGTTTACTTTTTTCAATTTTCACTTGTGGTTTAGTTTACTTTTTGTTGGTACTTTACTTTGCTGTACACTTTATCTTATTTACAATTTTGTTTTATCAATGGCTCGAAGAAGATAAGTTATATCAAATCTATGCCCCTGACGATAATAAGACATCCGATACATATTTTATTATTCATAGTAGTTGAAGAAAAGTCAAGTATTTAAAAAGTTAAAGTTTTTTTATAGTGCTGTATTTATAAATAAACTTATTTCTATATTTACATACAAATTTCCCGAACACGAAAATATAGTACATAACAAGAAGAAAAGTTTTTGTCTACTACGTAAGTATTTATGTCACTTATCATACATAATTTTATTCAAATATTTTGATTTGTAAACATGTGAAATATAACTGTTAAAAACGTATGATCGAATTCTATCTATAGACTAGGTTTTCTCTTGTCTTTTGTAAAATTATTCAATTGCAAAAAAAAGTTTTTATATCTTGATTTTATTTTGGATGACAACATGAAGATGAATCCTTTGAACGTAGTCAATTTATTATTAGCATATTTTCAAAGTTTACAAATACCAGATAGCGAGATTAATTTCAAAGAAATTAAATTTAAAAGCCGCTATTGCAGCTGGTACGATAGTGCATGATCGAGATATACGGAAATGGGCATTGCAAGCTCAAAAAATTGTTGGCCATGAAGATATAAGATTTAAGGCTTCTCAAAATTGGTTACTAAAATTTAAAAAAGCTCATAGAATAGTATCTAGAAAAATAAATAAATTTATCACCAAAAAAACATTAGAAAGTAAATAAGAACTACAAACTAATGCTGATGCTTTTGTAGCTGATGTTAAATCATGTATACCAGAAATCGGCATTGCAAACTTTTATAATTCAGATCAGAGTGGTTTTCAATTAGAAATGCACTCGGAAAGACAATTAGCAGTTGAAGGAGAAAAGCAGGTGCAATGTCAGGTACAGTCGGTTTCATCGACAACG